TTGGAGGATCTGGTTGAATTCTTGGAAGCTCCTGAATTGAAGATTGGTTGAAAAAACAGGTGTTCAAGAATTAATACCGACTTTACAAGTTAAAACCTAGAAAATTATTTTATTTCTTTAGACAAAATATTTTATTATAGTTGATGTTGTTATTCATACACTATAATTAGTGCATATCGACAATATTTAATTTTTATTTTAATTGTTACGGAGTATTATTTTTTATTTCTTTCTAATTGTGACCAATAATAATTTATGAATTTACATTCATATTCAACAATTAATGACTAATTAAAGCATGGTTTAATCGTTATGTACTGACAGTGTAAAAATATTATACAATATCATCCAATAGAAATATATCATTTTGCCATGTCATATAATTAATTTAAAATTTTTAGTATGACTTGGCAGAATGCATGACCGTCATTAGTTGACAATGTAAATAAGTGCATCATCCTTTTTTCCTCAAAAAAAAAAATAAAATACATTTCTAACTATGATTATTTATCAATCCAAGTTCTAACTCTAAAAAAATCGAATCTCCATTTTACAATATTAGTGACATTATCTACCGATCAAAATTTTAACTTTGCATAAATATCAATTAAAAAAAACAAATTGAATCCAAATTTCTCACTATTTATTAATTATCTATCTATTTATTAAAAATTTTGAAATTATATTTCTTACTTATTATTGATACTAATTATCTACCATTCCAATTTCTAACTCAACAATTAATGTAATATTAAAAATTTTGAAACTTTTTTTATTAGGCAAAATACCATTTTAGTCCCTTATCTTTATCTCGGGGTTTATTTTGGTCCTTTACTTTTTAAAAGGACCATTTTAGTCCCTTATATTTATCTCGGAGACCATTTTAGTCCTTTACTTTTTAAAAGGACTAATGCAGTCCCTTATATCTTCAAAGAAAATTATTTAAGAACAAAATTGCATACCAGTCAGCCATTTTACATTTACTGTTTTATTATTACAAACTGAAAATATGCTTAGTTGTTTAGAATTAAAAGGGTGAAATATCACGTTTAGTTATTATTAATTGAAAGGGTGAAATAACATGCTTATGTAGTGATTATTATATTTCTTTTGGAATAATGAAAGAATTATATTTCCAATGTTCAAGAAAACTGCAAGGGTTTGTGAAGTGTGTAATATTGGCAAGCAACATTGAGACAAAATATCAAAGAAAAGTAATTGGAGAGCATCAGAAAAACTTGAATTGGTGCATGCACGTCTGTGTGGTCCAATTACTTAAATCTCTCAAAGTGGTAAGAGATATTTGTTAGTGTTTGTAAATGACTACTCTCGCAAAATTTGGATTTATTTTCTTGTGGAAAAAGGTGAAACATTTGAGATATTCAAATGCTTCAAGAATCTAGTTGAGAACGAAGCTCAAAAGCATATATGTTGCTTACGAACAGACAAGGGAGGACAATTCATCTCAAACAAGTTCAATAAGTTCTGCCTGGAGAATGGAATTAAATGGCAATTAGCAGTTGCGTCACACCACAACAAAATGGGATAGTCGAATGAAGAAATTGAACAATTATAAATATGGTGCACTGCTTACTTACTGAGAAAGAGATGCTAAAGACCTTATGGGAAAAAGTTGTGAAGTGGACAAATCATGTGATTATCAGAAGCCTTACCAAAGCAGTAAAGGAAATGGTACCGGAAGAAAGATGGAGTGAACTGAAACCTAGAATTAACTATTTTAGGGTATTTGGATTCATTGCACACATACATATACCTGAGCAGAAGAGAACTAAACTTGACCATAGAAGTCATAAATGTATGTTAATTGGAGTGAGTGACGAATCAAAGGCTTACCAGTTGCATGATCCAATATTAAATAAAATCACAATAAGTAGGGATGTCATATTTAAAGAAGGAGAAAAATGGATTTGGAACGTAAATTCAGAAGAAGAAAATGAAAATACTCTTGATTGGGGTAACGACGGTAGTGGCATGGAGGATTCTGATGAAGAATTAGATATAGAAACATAGGTGAGTAATGCTGGAAACCATGAACATACATTACAAAATGAGGAATGACAACATGAAAAGCAACAACGTAAGGAACGACCAATAAGAGAAAGAAGACCACCTAGTAATCTGCAAGATTACGAAAGTGAGGAGTGTCTCTCTAAAGAAGAGCAAGAGGTTGGAATGGTTTTTTTCATGTCAAATGATGATCCCACAAATTATAAGGAAGCTATGAATGATGTAAAATGGATAAAAGCCATGAAATGTGAAATAGATGCCATCGAAAAGAACAAAACATGGGAGTTAGTGAATCTACCAACATAAGCTAAGAAAATTAGAGTGAAATGGATTTAAAAAATCAAATTGAATGAAGAATGAAAAGTTGATAAGTACAAAGCTCGACTTGTTGTAAAAGGGTATACACAGATAGAAGGGGTAGACTATAATGAAGTATATGCTTCCGTTGTACAATGGAACAAAATTCGAATTTTATTGGCTGATGCAACCCAAAAAAGATGGAGTATGTACCAGTTGGATGTGAAAAGTACCTTCTTATATGGAGAATTGAAGGAAGAGGTATATGTGGATCAACCTCAAGGCTTCATTAAACAAAATCTTATATGGCCTAAAGCAGGCGCCAAGAACATGGTTTAGCAGAATCGATAGTTACTTCTAGCGAGAAGGATTTACAAAGAGTAAACATTACCATACTTTATTCATTAAGAGAAGAGAGGAAAAACATAATCATGGTAAGTATTTATGTTGATAAGTTGATATATACAGGGAATAATGAAAAACCATGTGCAATATTTAAGCAGTTCATGATGAAAGAGTTTGAGATGACCGACCTTGGTAAAATGAGGTTTTCCCTTGGAGTTGAAGTAACTCAATATGTAAATGGAATTCACTTTTACCAAAATAAATATGCAAGAGAAGTTTTGGTAAGATTCAATATGTAGAATTGTAACTTTGTCAAAAATCCAATAGTTTCTGAAACTGTGTTGTCAAGAGAAGGTGGAGAAGATGTTAATTCAACTTTGTACAAGAAATTGGTAGGTATTCTGATGTATCTTATAGATACACGTCCAAATATGATGTACGTAGTGTATTTGATTTCATGTTACATGGTTAATCCAATGGAGGAACACATGCATATTGCGAAATGAGACTTAAGGTACTTACGAGGTACTTTGGATTTTAACTTATTTTATAGAAGAAGGATTGCATTGAAGCTTTTGATATATACTGACAGTGATTATGCAAGAGATGTAGACGACATAAAGAGTACTTCAGGGTATGTGTTTCTACTAAGTGAGGCAACAATTTGTTGGAGTTTAAAGGAGCAAGTCATCTTTACATTATCATCTACTGAAGCTGAAGGCGGCAACCTCATGTGCTTGTCATTGTGTTTGGATGATAAGGGTTCTCAAACAAATTGGAGATGAAAATTGTGAATGTATTGATATTTTTTATGACAACTGTTCATCAGTCAAGCTCTCTAAAAACCCTGTGATGCATCGGAGGACTAAACACATCGATGTCAGATATCACTATTTACGTGATCTTTCAAATTAGGGAGTTGTAAAGTTGATTTTCTGTGGAACACAAGAACAAATTGCAAACATTATGACAAAGCCATTGAAATTGGATTAGTTTGTGAAACTTAGGAGGCTACTGAGAGTACAACCACTTGAGAATTAAACTGCATGCTCAATGAGCATTTTAGTTTAAGGGGAAGAATTTGTTGGTATATTTACTAAGACTTAATCTTTAATATAAATAGAAATGCTAATTTAGCTAAGTTTAATTATAGAAAATGTTGAGTAAGTGTCATTGGTTATTATAGTTTTTATTCTCTATTTTCATCTGAGGTTTCTATTCAAACTGTAAGGCTTATATAAAGCCATTATATTCTCATATTGTAATAACAAAAAGTTATCTCACTTGATTAATATTATTAAAGTTATTACTACTTCTTCAAAAACACCTTATGAAAAATCGAAAATATCCTTTTGATTTCGGAGATACATCTACGAATTTCTCTCATGGGCACACACAACTCATTCGTTTTGAGTCACGCCTCAATTTTTTGCAAGTTCTGAAAATGTATTTTTCGAGACATTTCGAAAATGTATTTCCTGAATAATTTTCGAAATGAGTAGTGTGTGCATGAGATACATCTGAAGAAGAACCTCCCGAATCTGAGAGTATTTTTGTATTTTCATGAAGTGCTCTAATAAATCATAGAGTGCATTACGAAATCTCCAATAATAAAGTGCAGAACAAAATAAATGGGTCGGGTTCGAAAATAGATTCAGAATAGATACTAGTGTCCACATTTCTCGACCTATTCCCATATTTTACTATTAGAGAAAACTCAAACCCAAATCCAAATTGAAACAAAATTAGTTTCTCTGTCAAATTGAAAACGGATTCAAATAGATACACACAATGCATATCCTATTTTCTCTTTGGTGTTATCCCCGGCGACCCTCATGTGGTGGTAGCCTCGCATGCAATGTCAACCACCACCACTCCTCCCTTTATCATACTTCTCTATTAATTTTTCTCCTATCTCGTTTTCACTCCAATATCTTACTTCTTGTTTATCATTGCTTAGTTAGTTAGTTTTTTCCTTTTCAAACTTTGTTCTAGTTTAGGTTAATATGTTGAGTTTCATGTGTTTTTCATGGCTCGATTCTTGATTCTGTGCAAGAGGATGTAAGTATTTTTAAAGCGTTTCCTAAGGAAAATGCAATGCATTAGACCTACATTATTGTAGATACTCTGTTTAGTTTCAACTTGCAGTATTTATTTGTTATATTCATGCAACTTAGTCCATAGTTGCCAAATTGCCATCATATTAGTTACTTTAGTTGAACTTGAAGCAAAATTTTTGGTATATACATAGATTGGATGCAACACTTCGATTTTATCCACAAGTGTTTATTTTTACTTATATTTTAGTACAAAAGAAGTACATGAATTATTTAGACACAAAAGGCGAAAAGCGAGGTTCCACCGGTATAGTTAGAGAAAACTCCTAGAGAGACATTATATCCATGACCTGAATAAACACATCCATTGTTGATTGACATTCCTCCATAGACACTACCTCCGGTTGCATACGACCATAGAATTTTTCCGTTTCTGGCGTTAATCGCATATAAGTGTCCAGATAAATCAGTGGATCCACCAAATAAAACTTTATTTGCCACACTAACAGGGCCACTGACAGTACTATTTCCAGGGTTAGCTGTGGACCAAAGAATTTTTCCATTTCTAGGATCCATTGCCACCCATCCTCCCGTGGTTGTGTTCTTGCTTGATGGTAAAAGTTGGAAATTATGTTTTTCTGAATTTGCACTGTTTGTATAAACTCTCTTCTTATCAGTTGATGCACCCCATATTCCACCTCCTCCGTTTCCGCTAGGCCCAGCTTGCTGCAACGTTTCGAGTTCATTATTAAATTAGTTAATCCATTCAATACCATGTTGAATATTATTGTTGGAAGTTACAATTTTAGGATTTGGATCCTCTTCTTTTTTATATATCACGTTATCTCTCATGTTTCTAATCTAACGGTTCAGAATTTATAATGAATAATTAAATAAAAAAGTCATTTAATAGGAGAGAGAAATGAATAAATAATTTGTCTTTGTTATTTTTGGAATTTCTTCATTATAAATTCTGAACCGTTAAATTAGAAACATGAGAGATGACATGATATATAAAAAAGGAGAGGATCCAGATCCCGATTTTAGAGAGTATATATTACCTGAAACCATTGAAGGGTTCCATTGTCGCGATCCAATGCCCATGCAAATCCACTTTTCTGAACCGCAAAAACAATATCTTTCTTTGTTCCATTTATATGTGTAGTTAACATTATCGGCGCCTCTCCGAAATCAGAATCTGGTAACGGACCTTGAGGCGGACAATCAGGAGTTGACGCGTTGTTACATGCTATAAACCATACATCCAAGCCTCCTAATTGTTTGAACCATTTGATATCACCGGTGTCCAAATCAAGCGCCAGCATCGAATTCGAGTGGTTTTCCGGTTCGATACACTCGTCTGTTGAAACCGGAGTAGTTTGATTATTTTGTCTTTCTTGGCAATCAAGTATGTGTTGGGGGGCTGAATAGAGATTTCCAGTGGCAATATAAACATGTTTTCTATGAACATCAATGGAAGGACTACTTCCCCAGATAGCGGCTCCTGCGTATTGATCTCGTTTTCCTTTGTTATCTGGCAGCATATAGGTTTGCCATAAGATGTCACCGGTTTTAGCATCAAGTTTTACAAAGCTTCCGCGAAATGTGCAACATTTATCAATCGCTACTTGTTCTTCTAGTGAAGATACCCCAACATAGTAACTCCTATACATAAAGAGTTCAACATAATTACAATTGAGGTCAATGAAAGGTAATTGAAAATATTCAAGTTGTAATATGTGTTAAGAGTCCCACATCAGACAATATATGACATAAACATGTGTTTATAATTGAGGGCAATCCTCACTCTACCAACTGGTTTTGTAAGGTTGAATTAGACTCAATCACATTTCTTAACAATATGCAAGATCAAGAGTAAGAAGATACTAACCCATTGTAATATGTTCCAGACATGGTAATAAATGATCTATAATGAGTCTCCAACTTTGTCAACCAAACAAGCTCACCATTTGTTCTATTCAAACCAATAATAACAGCAGGCCCATAAATTCCGAGAATCAACAAATCTCCGGCCACACTTGGACTCACTCTAGAAACTGTTCCATTTGCATTAAAAATAAACACACTCGCATTTAAACCTGTCAATTCCTTCAAATTTTTCTCCCAAACAACTGACCCATCATCTTCTTTTAATGCATAAATATTACCATTCCAGCTCGGAAAATAAATTACGCCATCATATACTGTCGGTGTCGCCGTTATATCTTGCCCTGCAAAGAATTTCCACTTCAATCTTAGTTTATGAGCATTTTCCGGACTAATTTTGTGTTCTTTGTTCGCGTATCTTTGGTTGTACAAATCCCCACCATGGCTTAGCCACTAATAAACAAAAAAATCATCGGATTATATTAGAATATAAATAATAAAGATTATACAGAAATAACAGACAAATAATCTTACATTTGATTTTGCAGAAACTATTGCGACATGAACACAAAACAACAGTACACAAAGAACAATATTGTCAATTCTGTTTGACATGTTCTTGAACATGAAGATGGTGTGTATAGAAAGTTGATTTCAAATTATGTAACATGATAAGATATATAGCCAATGGTCCACCATGTTTACAAGAAACAATTGTGATATTTAATTATTGAAATACTTTGTCAAAGAAAGAGAGAAAGAAAATGTAGACGCGTCAATTATGGTTGATAGAGATAGTTGGATTTTATTGATTTTGGGTATAAGTCTTAAATTTTGCAGCTGGTAAAATGACACACTATCTAATTGATTTGTTTTATATTTTATGTGAGGTTGTGCACCTAAACACCCTATTGAAAATGATACACTATCTTATTAAAAGTTGCATTTGCACACACTAAATCTAAGGATGACTAATCTTTTTTTCATTTCATTTTGATACTTGATTTATCATTTAATATTGTAATCATTATCACTAACCACCGACGATTCCTTTTATATTGGCTACATAATGTGTAAATTCTTTGCAAATTTAATACATACTCCTTTTGTGTTTTATTATAAATGGTTTTTAACTTTTCACATTTATTAAGAAATGATAGTTGTAGTATGGAAAAGAGAAATTATGAAAATTTTTACAAAATTATTATTTATTAATGGTATTGAAAAGACAAATTTATATAATTGAATGTAGAGAGAATAATAAATATCTAAGGGTATAATAGAAAAAATAACATCAATGATTCATTGATATTATAAAACGACTTATATTGTGATACAATTTTTTTTCTTTCACAAAGCGACTTATAATAAAAAACGGAGATAGTATAATAATTTAGTTTTTTCGACTTTAATTATAAATATTAGGTATAATTAATCACTAAATCCCTTAACTTAATTTAACATGATTTAGTCTCTTAAAAAATATTACAATTAGTCCCTTAACGTTACTTTTGTTATCCTCTTTAGGCTCTTCCGTCAATTTCTTGCACAAAAAAAGTTAAGTTTTATTGACATGGTGTGACAGCAAGATCATTATTACAAATCTAAGTCAACATATGTAGTTAAAAACTTATACACTGTTTAAACTTTGAAATTCCCAAAAACAAAGTCATCCATAATTTAAATATTGTATCGGTTTTTAACTACATATGCTGACTCAGACTAATGACCTTCTTGTCACACCACATCACCCAAAGTTAACATTTTTTCACAAGAAATTGATGGAAATGATAAAATAAAGTAACGAAAAGGAAGTTAAATGACTAACTTGTAACGTTTTTTTAGTTAACTGGACTAAAGTGGAACATTAAATTAAGTTAAAAGACTAAAAGATGTATTAAACCTAAATATTATTAGAGTTGTTTTGCCGATAACATAATATCTCTATTTTCAAATGAATATAATCTAATTGACTATATCAATTTGGTTTTATGATTGTAAGGTGATCATAGAAGTGAACTATCTATTACGACGTGTGATTGAGCTGTATCAAATGGACTAATAAAACTTACACTTAATTTTTATTGACTTGGAGAAGGCGTATGATAGACTGCCTAGAGAGATTCTATAGGAAGTCATAGAGAATAAAATGATTAGGATTGCATATATTCGAGTTATCTAAAATATGTGTGAATGAGTATCAATTAGTGTGCAGACACAAGGTGGAGAGAGAAACGATTTTCCTATCACAATAGGTTTGCATCAAGGTTCAACCCTAAGCCCCTAGCTATTTACCTTAATTTTAGATGCACTCACGAAACACATCCAAGAGCTAGCATCGAGATGCATGCTTTTTATAGATGATATGGTCCTACTTAGAGAGTCGAAAGTGGATTTAAATGAGAATTTAGAGACTTTGATACGTGATTTTAAAAAATATGATTTTTGCCTAAGTAGAAGTAAGACGAAGTATATGGAATGTAAATTCAATAAAAGAAGAAATGTTTCTAATCTAGAGGTGAAAAGTTGGAGACGATATCCTCCCTCAAGTCACATAGCTTAAATATCTTAGGTTTGTAATACAAAATGATAGAGAAATAGAAGAAAATATAAACCATCAAATTTAAGTTGGGTGGTTGAAATAGAGGACGGCGTCGAGGGTTTTATGTGACACAAATGTACCACTTAAGATGAAGCAAAATTTTTATCAAGCCACGGTAATACCTGTATTTTTATAAGAAAAAATGTTAGAGAGTTAAGAATCTACACGAGAATAATGTAAGTATAACAAAGATGAGGATGCTGTGTTAGATGTGTGGTAATACTATACATAATATGATTTGAAATGAAAATATTAGAGAGAGTGTTGGGATAATCTATAATAGAAAAGATGGTGGAAAATAAACTTAAAAAACTAAATAGAAGCATGATCTTGAGATTAATAATTTGGATAGAAGTAAGATCTTAGATAGAACATTATGACGAAAGTTGATTCATGTAATAAATTCTACTTAATGGGATAATGCTTGGTTGTTGATGTCATTAGAAGAGTTGAAGATTGATGAAGTTATGAAGATCAAACTGTTGATTGATAATAAGTTAGCAATTGGCTTGGCTAATCATTTAACGAACCATGAAAGAAACAATCATATTAAGGGAAAGTACTACTGTCTAAGAATCAAGTGAGGAAAAACAAATTAGAAATTGAATATTGCAAGACAAAGTTAAAACTTACATTTATTTTGACCAAGCAATTGAAGAGATAAATATTTGATCGCTTAAAAGAATTGATATGCATAAGAAAATTAACTTATGTGAGTTAGAAGGAGTAATGGTAATGTAATTAACTTTTAGTAGAGTAATGGGAATGTAATTAACTTGAGTGACTTGCAATACAAGTTAAATATAAAAAATGACCTTTAATGTAATTATTTGGTTTTTGAACTATATATTTGCAACTTTTGTAATTCTTCATTTGCTAATGATTAGAAAATCTATCTCTTCCCTTAATTTTATACTTTACATCCCTAATTTCATCACTCTCTTATTTAAGTACATTACCTTTTGATCTAAGTAATCCCGACACATACAAAATTAAAGCAAACAATAAGGATTTATGGTTAACTTTGTTGCAATCATATTCTTATGTAAAAATTGTATGTATATCTATTATGTGTTTTCACACTTGTCGAGATTCTCTTATATATTCTTAGATAATTTGAATATACAAAATCCTAATCCCATGCAATTTTTTGTTTTTGTTTTTCATGGACTCTTTATATATATATATATATATATATATATATATATATATATATATATATATATATATATATATATATATATATATATATATATATATATATATATATAATACTCTATATTGGATAGTCAAGCTATTCTTTGATATAACTTGACCATTCAAACAAAACTTTCTATCTAATTTCATTTTGAGTAAGAAATATATTTGAGAACATGACACCCCATACTTTATGTGATAAGAGGTTTATCTCTTTGTTGGTGGTATATGATAAAATATATTGTTACATAATTTAGAGTAAGAAAATATTTTGTCACTTTTTCACTGAACTTCCACTAGTGGAAGTTATACTTTAAAATACTTTGATTTTATTGAATTCACCACACACTTTTTTTCCTCTTTTTCTTACTTGCATACAACTTAGCATTACAAAGACTTTATATAGGCTTGAAGGAAATTGATAGAGAATACAATAAGCTTGTAATCAAGATGAGAACTCTTTGATTCTCTCAATCTTAATGATACAACTCTACCGTAGATCTAAGTAAAGATAATAATTATAATGTGGTTATTACAATTCTCTAATAATACTTACTAAAGATAGTAGTGGTTACAACACATTAATTTTAACACTCCCCCATAATATGTTGTTCTTTAACTTCCATTGCTTCTCTAAGTTGCTGAAATCTTCCTCTGTAGTGCTTTAGTAAAAATGTATGCAAGCTACTCTTGTAAACTGCAGAAAGCTGATTTCACATCTCCTTCTTCAATCACACTTCAAATGAAGTGATGCTTTATGTTAATGTGTCTGGTCCGGCTATGAAAAACATGATTCTTTGCCATGAAGAACTTGGTGTACATGAGGTTGTTTGCTCATTCAGCTGCTGGATTTTGTTGTAATAAAATTGCTGGAACTATTTTATCCTTCATTTTGTCTTCTTCCTAATTCCAAGAAGCCTTTTCATCAAATACAACATTCCGGCTAATGATCACCTTCTTTGTCTTCAAGTTGTAAAGTCTATATCCCTTTGACATGGAACTATAGCCAATAAAGACACATCTTTCACTTGTTTCTTCCAGCTTTGCCCTCTTTTGTTTAGGAATTTGAGCATAACAAACACACCCAAAAACATTAAGGTGGCTAACTAAAGGAGTTATTCCACTCCAAGTTTCAAATGGAGTCTTATTCCATACAACCTTTGTTGGGCATCTATTCAGCAAATACACAACAATATTAACAGCTTCGGGCCAAAAGGTTTTAGGGAAACCTTTCTCAAGTAGCATAGACTTCGTCATCTCCATCACAGTTTGGTTATTTCTTTCAGATACACCATTTTGCTGAGGTGTATAGCTAACAGTGAGATGTCTTTCAACACCTTCCTCTTCACAAAATTTGTGAAATTCATTTGAGGTGTACTCCTCCCCCTGTCACTTCTCAATATTTTTATAAACCTACCACTTTGTTTCTCAACAAAAGCTTTAAACTTCTTAAAAATTACAAAAACTTCAGAATTTTTGTCTCATAAAATATACCCATGTCATGCGCGTAAAATCATCAACAAACAAGATAAAGTACATGTTTTTGCTATGATACAAAGTATTCATAGGGCCACACGTATTTGTGTGTATAAGTTCCAACACTTGTTTGGCTCTCCATGCTCATTCCTTTGGAAATGGTTGGCGGTGGTGTTGGCCAAGCATGCGTCCTTCACACACACACACACACACACACACACACACACAAGATTTTTCTTCAATTATTGGCATTCTATACACCATCTTCTTTTGATAAAGCAACTTGAGACTATTGTAGTTCAAGTGCCCAAGTCTCTTAGCCACAAACAAGAGTCATTATCTTCTCTAGCCA